GGGTAATTGCATTAATTAAATGTCAACGGAATTACCCGCCGGCCAATCAGATTTCAATATTCGTTTGTTATTGTCGTAGAACTGTTCGAATTATTCCGCAAACGTTCAAATTTTTGTAAACAACGTAACGTTTACCGGTTCAAACGTCACGTTTTGCTTGCGAAACCCGACGTTTTGCTTGCGAAACGTGACGTTTGAAACGTGAACAAACGCGAAAAATTCGGGACGCTGACCAGTTGAATGCAAATGGTAATATTTATAAAGCTAAAATGACAGCACGTCCCATGCAATTTAAATTAAAAAAGGTAAACTTGATATAGTAAAACACAAGTCATAATGATGATCGCAACAATACAGCAATAACATGCTGTTTCTTTTCACAAATTATCGCAGCCTGACACTCTTGTCGTTCGAAAGCTTCATGTTGGTTTAGTCAGAGAGATGTTCACTCCACGACAGTCAACAGTCAATGAAGCCACGCGCGGAATTAGGCGCTCAATACCCATGATGCTTTGCGGCTTGCTGTCCAACCTCCTCTGCTTTCAACCAGGGCGCTTATATATAAGCGCCCAACCTCGTACCCAGGGCCTTTGCGCGGTTCAGAGGCTCTGGTACGGGAAGCAAAGGCCCTGGTAAACACTGGTCATGTGACTCCAAAAATATTGGACATTTGTAACCTGGCCTTTGTTTAGGTCATGTTATCCCGGGGGGATGAACAACTGAACATTGCAATGCACGAACTATAAAAGTTTCAAATACAAATGATTTTGCCTTTGATTTTTAAAATATGAATGTATAACAATTGTTTGAAAATTCATGTTTTAAAACAACAGACAGCAGATTTTAGGCTTGTTTTTATTTGATGGAAATTATAAACTTTGAAGTCACATGGATTTTGAATTATGCTTTAATTAAAGAATGCAGTATATTCGAGGTAAACGATTTTATGATGCATATATAAAATTATATTCTCATATCTTTTAATATTTATCGGTTTATATATCATAAATTCCAGCAGTTCGTGGCTGTCTGTTTGTATAATTAGTTTTCTTCGTTTAACTACTCCTCCATCGCTTTTGGATATAAACCCTCCTTCATGCCTGATATATTTTTTGGTTATCTCCATCCTTCACTTAGTAATTCACTAAAATCAAAATTCTCTGTTCCAGCTTGCTCAGAAAATATTCAATCTTTCATAACTTGAGTTATCTTTGGCATGTAAAATCATTAGGCAGTATCCTCAGTAAAATACTTATTTAACTGGCTGACCATTACAGTAGTCAAAAGCTAATAAATGAATACATGCGAAAATTACAAATTAACTGCCCTCATACCAATCCATTGGTCTCTGACTCATCCAATAAATACTTAACAGAATAGTACGATAATAATAGAAAAGTGTGAAAATGCCAACGTTACCTAACTTTGTGTGACAAGAAAGTTAGATTACATTAATTTTACAGTCAGGTATTTTCTTTATCGCCTCAATACTCTGGTTGATGATTCCAATGGCCCCCATAAAATTCCAATGGCCCCCATAAATTTCCAATAGCCCCCATAAATTTTACTGGAGAAAATGTTTCCCCCACTTCTTGCCATTAAATCTCCATAGCCCCCATTTTACCCATCCAATTAGGGAGAGTCTTGTGTGGTTACACTATAGTAATGGGAATATGGGATAATCAAATATGGCATACTTTGTTAGTTTTCTCTGTCCTACACCAGACAATTTTACTTGTCAAGTGTAAGGTTAAGTGAGTAATAAAAGGTGGCTGGATATTCTAACTTTTGCTCCATATACAGTAATTGGACTTTGGTTGTGAGCAAAATGTAAAAAGACAATTACCAGTAATACTGGCCTTACTACATCCCTATTATTTACCTTGCAACCTTGAGCAGTTGTGCTGTTACAGCAGAATGTGGTTTCAGATGACAGTTATTTTATGGCAATTATGATATTCCAGTGTGCCAGTAAGACATTTGTCGTTTGTTTCTCTTTTAGTATTATATCGAAAAGGTGATTGCAGGGTATGCAGGTCCTGGAGTGATGTAAATGGCCATGACCTTGGGCAATTTATAAGTAATATATGAGTGGTGTAAAATAGGAAATTTTTTATTAATTCTGATTGACTAATAAAATTAGAATGGTTAGAATAGTGATGATGGTAGTGAAATACAAGTTGTGATGATATTGGTGATGCACAAGTTGTAATGATACTGCTGATAATGATAAAAAATATATTGTATTTGTAATGAGACATAAATAATAGAGATTGGCAGTAATGAATGTGTATGACTTGATCAATTGTGCTGGTGAGAAGGCAATATATTGCCACCTAGATGAATTAAGTTCCATGCTATTTTGTGTTCAAAACTAACTGTTCTCATCAGCTCCAAGGATAACTGGAAAAGCTGGTTTCAATCCCGTTAGCTGATCTTGAAACTATGTGCGCACATATAAATATTTATTTTTTCCTCTTGTGAATTATATTGTTGGCCCAAAATATCGGTTGATTATTTCATCTAGAAACTGTGTGAATGTTGTTTGAATTTGATATGTTCACTCTGTGACAAGTGAAAGTGATATGTAATTCATGCATAATATGGTGATTTTTGGTTTCAGGATGTAAAAAATGAAATTTACTTACTGATAAAATTCATTGTAACCATATTCGTTAAGCCTCTGTGTCTCGCTTAGAAGCCCTACCTCCTCAATACAAATAAAACTCTGCATAGTGACTTGTGCCGTGACTAATATTATGTTACAGCTTTGGTTCAAATTTCATAAATCATGAACCGATATACAGTAACTGCAAATGTAAACAAATAGGTGAACGCACACCCAGTATACAGACTGTTATTTGCCTTTAAGACTCCTAAGTCACATATCACTGATATAAGATTCATAGTAAATTTGTTGTTTCAAGATCACTGTATATTTAATATTTCTCATGATTCAGGATTGGTACCCCCCGCCCCCCTTCCAGACAAACAGCAATATAGATGATACATCCCAAAAAATAAATATGAAATTAACTCACACACACACAAAGGTTTCAAGATACTGTGTATAATTTCATTCACAACTGTATTTTCAACTACATACATACGGAAACCAACCTGTCACTCGACCAGTTAATTGTTTCAAAATATTCTGCTTTGATATTAACTACATGTTTAATACACATGAAGAATTTCGTTTCCATAGATGTCCCCTCTGATTTATCCTTCCATAAAAGTACAATAAAATCCCAAGTGATATTCTTTGGTCAATACATAAAAATTACTTATAATCAACAATGTTTATTTAATTCTTTATAAAACGTCGCACACAAGCAGCTGCATTGGATACAAAACAGACAGTTTATTATCACTCGACTAGTTTTCTCTCAGTTTGATCTTCGTCCTTCGATCTTTGATAAGTATTACCGTTAGCTATTCCACAATTTGTTGAAAGAAAGCTCGTAGAATGCATAGATAATATATACCCACTCTTAAATCTCACTAGGAAAGTTTTATTTATCATAATAATATGAAAACTCGAAAACATCGCGCCTTCGCGCTGCCATGTTTGATAAAATCAATCGGATCCGCTCCCCCCGGATTGAAAACTAAATTATTACGAAATGTCCAATATTTTTGGAGTCACATGACCAGTGTTTACCAGGGCCTTTGCTTCCCGTACCAGAGCCGCCGAACCGCGCAAAGGCCCTGGGTACGAGGTTGAGGAAACGAAGGCTCTGGGATAATCCATCTCAGAAATGAATATGATTGGTGGCTGGTATACAATGGAATGTTGCAATTTTGCAAAAATTAATTTTTAACCGTATATTTTTATATACAACATGGCGGCCGTTTAGGAGTGTACGAATATTGTTTTGGTTTTTCAGAGCTGTGCTGTATACTAATACTACAAAGGAGATGCAAAGAAACATATACTTAATGCGTGAAAACTTTACTCATATTTTGTGTTGTACAGGTTTTCTGTAGTTTTAATCTATACATATTATACAGTACTGTCAGTACACTGTTCTATTTGAATATAATATCAAATATGTGCTATATTTTGCAAATACTATTTGTGTCAGAAATGGTTAATAACTTTATTAATTTGTCTTTGTGTTATCTAATTGCGAAGAACTAGCTAATAACTAGTTTCAATACATCCAATCTTGGGATTTACTGTTATATATTTTATTATTTAATGTATATACTGTACTGTAAACTTTTCAAGTGCAGGAGTATCAGTATGTAATACTCATTTTAACTTGTAGCATGTAACCCTTCCCTATATGGGTGCATATGAATCTTTTGCTGTTATAATTTATTTATAGAAGAGTTCAAAAAACCTTTATTCTCTAAATAAACCACAATTTCACAGGCAGTGATATTTTAAACTTGTATTCCAGTCTGCATACACCTAATGCACCTATCAATGGTAACCCCCAGAGGGGGTCGGGGGGGGGGAGTCGGGTATATGTGGGGTATTTGATCAATTGCTCCCCACCCTGGGGATTTTGTATAGCATTTTGGCCCCGAGTTGGGGCAATTTGAACCAAATGACTTTTATTAACATACTATTTATTGCAAAATGGTGGGGCATTTGACTAATATTTATTGCCCGACGGTGGGACATTTGATTGAAAATTTGCTCTAAAAATCAAATGCCCCACCTATGCCTGACCCCCCTCCTCTGGGGCTTAACATTGATAAGTGCATATTACATACAATGAATTATTGGATTTCACTATGGCATTTTGCACGTTCTGTCATTGGTTCTGACAGGGGGTCAACCTAAAAAATGTATTGATGCTTATGTTGTACTGGAGTGAGCAAATGACATGAAAATGCATACATGTATTTGCAACGAAACACAAGGCCAACACATACAGTGAAAAATTAATTCCCTCTGATGACTGTGTCTCGATTTAAAGTTGACCACCCATCAAATTTATGATGTCATATGAAACACAATAATATACAGTATAATATTACTGACAGGTAATTGTAGCATAAAGTAAATAAATATAATAAATTGCCAAATGACTGACAATTTGGGCTAGTGACGCCCCTGAATGCTACAATGATAGCTAGCAACCTCTATTGCTATTATATCTCCAACCTTGAATGTCCTATTTAGTACAGTAGTTAATTAATTAATGGCAGTAATCAACATGAAGTCAAGTACATTTCTGGCCATTGATGAGAAATATTGTCCAGAAGCAGGGATGGATAGCCCTGGCCAGAGATGTTGCAGGGGAGGTGCTATTTTTCATGATAAAGCAAAAAAGACAAAATGAGATACAGTAATTTGAGTAATAACATGATGATAAGTGAACTGTGAACAATTACAATTCAAATACAGTAGTTGATGGGCGGGCGGCACACATGACCAACACAACTCGGCACCAGAGGCACCCCCCCCCCCCTACCAGATCATGCTGGATCCATCCCTGTCCAGAAGTACAGTGAAATAACAAAATAGGGTGCACTAAAGAGCATTGTGGCTTAATGATCTAATGAGATAATTAACCAAAGACAGGTAGACATGCATGCAGATGGACTGGTTAACCCATTCAAATACCAAGTCCAATACTTTCCCCTTAACAAGAAAAAATTCTGGCGTTAAACAGCTTAAAATAACAAGGTAGGGCAAACTGAGGCACATTGCAGCTTAACTTGCTCCAACTCTATCATTACAAACTGTAAATCTTTAATAGTACTTCCTATCCAGACACAAAATTTGGTTACAATTCAATAATTTGAAAAGTGCTGTTGCATCCCTAACCTACTAAACTGCTTGCAAATATTAAAACATATAAGGAAAGCTATAAGGGCAGTTAAAAAATATAACAAGGATTTGGTTTATAAACTGTTAATTTCTAGAGATGATAACACAATACAAACATGGAATTCACTATATTCATATTTTTAATGATATGTTTTATAAGTCTAAATTCCTTTTAATATTCCTCTGATATACAAATCTTTTGAAAACTTTAATATTATCAAGGTTTATAACCGACTTAATATTAGAATTGAGACTCTCTTCAGGTATTTTAATATTACAGTAGCTGAGTAGCAATTAACACACAGTACATTGTAATTGTTTTTGTTCTTGAAAATTGCCCTTTCCACGCGCTCTTTCAACCATTAGAAACATAATAGCGTTAAACGGCTAAATTATGCTGGAGAAACCACAAATGTCTCTACATTTAAAGCTTTTTCAAACTGACACAGAGGTGAATGGACAAGATTGCAATTAATTGTGACTTTTTTCTTCGACAACAGCACTCTTCGCGGCTCCTGCCGGCTCTATACTGACCCTGTTTCACACGCAATATTTTCCTTATTCAGTCGCTAACACACCTTTTGTATCCCACTATGAAGAACATCAACATTTCCACCAAAACCCAGAAAAAATCATCATTTTATAGACGAAACAATAAAATATTTCAAACAATTTGTTTTGCTTTTGGCAACGCATGCGCAGTTCGGTCGACATACAGTTTTCTGTATGTCTGAGATGGATTATCCCAGAGCCTTCGTTTCCTTCCCAAGGATCGCAGGCTCGGGGAACGAGATTGGTCCGAAACTGGATTTTCATGTGCAGTACAGATATTTTTTATATATTTCAAAATATGATTCATACCGTCATTTTCGCACACAATTTCGCCACTTATTAACACAATTGACTACAGTCGACAGAAATACTACATATATTAGAGCCTGTTGATCAATAAAAGTTGGGTTTTAAAAAATAAAAAAATCCTGAGCGGGGCCTTTTTTGTGGGCGGGCGAGGACGCTAACCAACTATTTTTTTTATGTGGCCTTATATTACTACTTTATAAAATGTAAGAATCGGGTAGCCTGCTCACAGACATTGTTATTCTTACGCCAAGTGACGAATTACTACCGTCTGCTTACCCAAGCGCCAAACTGAATTCCGCTATGTCGACCAATCAGAATTTACCTTCCAAATTCTGGAAAGTGACTTCAGTTGATTTAGGAGTGGAATAAATATAAATGTATAGGTTGAATTTTGCTCAAAATTGCACATAAATTGAATTTAAAGATACTTGTCCAGGTAATAAAATGCACCATTAATTAATTAATGATCATATTTGGATATTAAAGATGTTCGGTTATATTTAAAACGTGGACAAGATTGGCATATTTAATATAATGTATGAAGCCAAACAGGCGAGACAGCATCAAAAGCTGAATATATTTCGCTGAAATTTGAACTTTTGACGGATGTTTATCTTTATAAGACAACAGAACTCGGAAGACAGAAAATTTGATATAATACTGTGGCAAAATATTAGCTTCAAAGTAAACTAATTGTGCCGTGATGAATTTTCCAATTCGCCCAAACTTTGAAATGTTTATACTCTAACTTGGCTATACTTTTCTACATGACAATGAGAGCTTAATCTTTTAGAAGTTTTCGTCGAAGTCATGGCATATAGGAAGTATCAAGAGCAACATTTGGACATATCCTGATATACTCGAGTTTCCCGATTGATTGTTTGTCATTGATATTGTTAACAAAAATTTAAATTTCGCCTACTGCATTGCTCTAGCACTTTATATACACCAATTGTTTGCTCAACATGCGAGAAGATGATCACAATATTATTCTACGTAAACATCGTAAAGTTCAACGCTATAGTTTCCAAAATATATCCACACACAAGTAACAAATTTCAAGTTTCAATGCAAACAATATATTCCAATGCATGTGCAAGAGCTTTCCCCAGTAGCTAATCTCTCAATAAGGCGGCTTCCAATTGGCTCTAACTCTTTTGAACACTGCCAGATGATTGGCTCCTAAAACAAAGGGAATTGAATATGCAGCTCGGGTAAGCAGACGGTAGTAATTCGTCGTTTGGCATAAGAATAACAACGTCTGTGAGCAGGCTAAGAATCGGGTGCCATACTTCAGTACGATTATTGGGTCATACTAATTACCGACAATTACTAATAACAAGCACGCAATTACCGGCAACAAGTAGGGGTGCACCTGATTTGGAATTTTCATATCTGGCTGGAACCGATTTTGGGCAAAAATTCCGGCCGGATTTGAGATAAACCAGTAATGGTCCCAATTGGGTATAAATTGTGATAATTCAGTATTATGTTTTTTACTATTTTTAGTTAGTGTCAGTTTAGATTTTTGATTGTGTTTAAACCTTTTTTAAATATATTTTTGTTAATAACTTAATATTTTATAATAATATAAGTGTTTTT